AATATGCATCAATAAACAATATTTCATGCATAAATTTTTTTTAAAAGTTTTTGTCAAATATTTTATAATATAATATAAATATACATGAATGGATCTGGTCCTAACATTAAACAGATGCAATAGCATTCCTTACCCAAAAAATTAATACAATTAATAAAGTACTTTTTCAATGTAAGGAATAAAAAAATAAAAATAAAACTTTTCTCCTTCTTAAATAATTATTTTTTGAAAATTTCTCTTTCCTATTTTTTTCCATTTTGAATATCTTTTATGAACAAAAATTCACAAAATCTTTATGTCTAAATGGGTTGGAGATGTTCAGATTAAATAACAAAGTTGTCGTTTTAAACTGTATTATAAAATGGGTTTTAGACTTTTTTCATGACTATATTTTAATGATTGTCATAATTATTTTTATATATTTTGAGAAAAAAATAAAAAAATATATATGAATTTTTATATTTTAAATGATTAAATCATTGAATATTTTTTTTAACAAATAAATCTCTGCTATTACAGAAATTAGATTCCTCAAACAGTATAGAAATGATCCAAAATCAGTTATTGTCGTATTTGTAGTGTTGGGGAATTTTTGGTTTAACAAAATCTAAGGTGCATTCGTTGTATAAGAAAACAACACCTATAATATTTGGTTTTACAAGAACTAAAAGGTATATCTTTTAATTAGAGATGGTTAAAAATCAGTTATATTGCCCCGATATTTTACCGAAAAAAAAAATAACGTATTGTAAATTATATATCTAAGTTCTTCAAGATTTCTAGAAGATCTTTAAGTTTTTTTATTAAAAACCTTGAGTTTATTTCAAGTTTTCCAAGTTTTTTTAGAAGTTTTTTAAGTTTTTTCAAGTGTTCCTATATCAGATTCCAGAAATCGTAATTATAAAAACTACATAAAAATATTTTAAAAATATTTAAAGTGTAATTAAATGACATATTTAGATGTTTTGAAGTGTTTCAATAAGATATTGTCCAAAAATACAAAATTATCAAAAAGCAACTCTATGTTCAAAATTAATTTTTGGAAAAAGTAACTAGGACCAACTTGCGCCTGCCCGAGACTAGTTCTAAAAACCCGCTATGGTTAAAGAAGACTGGGCCATGAATTTCTGATCTGGACCGAGAACAGTTAAAAAAATCAAGAACAAGGACCGATTTAGGCCCAGCTCGGCCCATGACCGGCTTTTTGGCCATCTCTACCACAACGAATGTTGCAATGGCTCAATAGTATCCGGATTACTAGAAAAACCAATCCTTTAAAGTCAAAGATTCAAGACCCACCACAAGTGAAAGAGTTTGCATGAGTATTTATCATACATAAGACACCCATCCTAACCATGAAAGCATAAAACACAATCCCAGAGAAGACGATCCAAGATTGGTGTTCATTAAAACAAGAAGAAATCGAAGTTCAATACCCAATGTCAAAACCTAAAAACCGAAAGGCAAAACCAAGGCCAGTAACCAGCTCATCAGACAAGATAGAACAGTATATACACTGGCCTCGATTCAACTAGCTCCTCAAATCTTTACAATGTTCAACCAAGCTAATAAAAATGACTTTTACTCGGGTATTTCTTACCCTCTCATACTTGTATACTTCCTTTTCTCTGGTGTTCAAAATATCTACCAGTGTAAGAGTTTCCAATAGCTCAGGCTTGGGCTCATGCCGGGTCCAATTGTGCGGTGAAATCTTGTATGCCTAAATCATGGTATAAATCACGCACAAAACCAAGTATGGGTTCATCATCCACCCCTTTTTTCACCTGTTAATACATCCACAAAAACAACTGCATACGTTAGTTGTGGTCTGACTTCATGAAAGGCGAAATAAAGGAATGACACAATGGAGATGGAGTAGCCTTTCGTAACCAAACCAAAACAAACTTGGTATATCCCACTTGAGAGCGATGTCTATGAGAGATGGGATGTACGAAGACCTGTCACAGTCCAAACCAAAACACGCCGAGTATATCCCACCCGGAGGTGAGGTCTTTGAGGGTGGGGTGAGATGTACGCAAACATGGCCTCGACCCAAAAGAGTAGAGCAATTGTTCATGAAGGCCCACAGCTTGTGCAAAGTGTGCGAGAAAAAGGAAAGAACATACAATCAAGAACATGAAAACGAGAAATGTAGTGCTAAAATTTGAAAAAACAACATTGAAACATATAAACAGATAAAACATACAAAATGCCACATGTCTACTGGGTTGTAGGCAAAAGTTTCTCCACTCAAAAGCACACATATAGATATAGTAATGTTGGATAGCTGCCACAAGGGTTGTTGTCCAAATAACTTCTCTTAAAATTTACCTGTAGTGAAACTGAGCCGACCACGTGAGCTGGCACAAATTCCCAGAATTGAGCTTGAGATACTTCAATAACATCTTCAAGAGAAGCCACCTGACAAAAAATACAAGTCAAAAACAAAGATGTTAAAGGAAAAAAGTTAGAATCGATCATGTCACGACACCAACGTAGTGGTCTGTAAAGAATACACGATTGAGGTGTTATAAATGTAGTAGTGGGACTACTTAGTAGCTTATACTTTTGAAAACAAATTATAGTGTACCAATGCAACTTCGTTGGAATTTATCACTTACAAAATGACACCGGGGTTTCCATTATGTGGAGGGAATTAGTGTGGTACCATGTCTACATGAGAAGTTAAAGTTGTAATAATTTTAGTACCTGTCTCCAGCATTTGCTCAACGCTGATGACGGAATATTAGGCGGCGCCTCCTGAAGAAGGATGCCACCGCTTGTTTTGAAAAGTGGCATAGCAAGCATAAATACGGTGAATGAAACTAGTCCCAAACACAAAACTTCAGCATTCTCAACCCTGAAAAATGGAGAACAAAGTGATGTCATAAGTGTAAATGTGTAATACTTATTTTCCCCTCATATTACATGACTAAGGGGATGTTCGGTTCAGGCGGAGAAATAAAAATGGAAATGAAAATGGGAATGAATTTTCATTCCCCCCTAGTTTAACAAGGAATGAAAATTTGGGCTTCTTGGGGAATGAACTCATTATATTATATAAAAACAAACAGTTTCTTCTATTTTCATTCTCATTAATTACTGCTTAATAACTCTAACCAAACACCCTCTAAGAATTAAATATTTGTTTGCCAAATAAAGAACTTACCCGAGGCTCAATAGCCAAGAAGCCAGAATCAAGCCTGCACTGGAAAAACAACACAACACCAGTTTTAAGATGAGATCTATGAACAGCCATGCCAAGAACCAAAAAAGAGTTGCCTGCAGGATAAAGTATACTCCCCAAGTCCCTAAACAAGAGCCCCACTTGACTAGGCACATAGTTCAAGGGAAATGCCTCGATAAAGTATACTTCCCATATCCCTAAATAATGTAATATTTGACTAAGTACATAATTTAATTGAAGTGTTTGACCAGTAATCAAATATCTAAATCACCCCTCAATAATGATAAAATTAGGGAATCTTGTGGGTCAGAATAAATGTCATCATAATTTGTAATGGCTACCAAAGGGTAAAGAGGTAATCCTCAATTGAAACTTGCCATAAAACAAATGTTGAGTTCACGTAGGGGCATCCCGAAAAGAAAATTGTTGCATTTCTGGGAAAATGATGGGTTAAGATTAGTGTTGAGAACCCAACTACTAATTGCCATTCGGCTGGGTACTTTCCTATACAACATGTCATAACAATGCTTCCAGTGGTGTGATTAACTATCTTATGCTAAAGATGCAAGAATTATGAGCTCAGATCTTCTGTCCAGATTGGAAGTAATCTGCAATATTTTCAGCAATAGCAGCCTCATAACACTTCATTGGAAAAAAGGTAACTGCCCAAGTATCCAAATTGCACAAACATGTACAATTGATTTATCTTCTATATTAACATGTAATCAAATCAATCAAAGTTTTTTTTTCCTTTGCCAGAATGAAAATCACAAAGTTGATTCATGATGTCAACCTTGAGAAATGACCTATCGAGTATAGACGATCTTGGTCTGGCAAAATTTATCAAATTGAACAGCATAACTTAAGAAAGAGTGTGGTACCAACTACAGACACAGACATTACAGATGATGCATAGGGTTAACGAAAATGTGCCTTAACACAGTGATCACAAAAGTATATCCCAAATTTTTATAATCTGTTAGCTTAAAAAATGGGCCACATAGAAGAACCAATGTGGGAAAACATGTATTTATTTAATTAGAAAACTGTACATACTTCCTTTTGCTTAATAGTTCAGCTAGGGGAAGTTTCAATTCCTTAAGTTTAGGGATTCAATTAGTAGTTTCCATTTTTGGGGGGCATAATCTTTTGCATATAACTCACATGACAGTTGTAGGGGCAGCATTAGGGTAGCAAACTATGTGTAGAAGTATGTAGTTAACATAGTTGGGAGAAGGAGAGACTAGAAGGGTAGAATGTGAAACATGAGGGGGTATGGAGAGCAAATAGATAGGTTATCGAGCTTTGAGATGGATAGAGGGATGTTTAGTGTGTAGTATTATTCCAATAAGTTCCTATGCTTTCTCTACTTAAATGTGTAACCTTTTTTACTATATACTGTTTACGATTTACTAGTCTTGGTTTTTTCAAAAGCTCTACATTTTTTACTTTTTGGTCCCAAGCTCGTCCCTATATTCCTACTTCATCCAAACTTCTTAAAGCACTCAGCCTTTCACCAAAATCTTTTTGCAAACACTTTCCGCAAGCAGGGGGTATTCATAGAAACAACCGCTCTACTACTTGGGGTAGAGGACAAGTATGCATACATCCTCCGAATCCTACTTCCAAATGAGACATAATGGGTGTGTTTTGTTCGGTTGAATATGATTTCAGTCAATGTTATTGCTGAGAAGTATAGAACCCCAAAATGGTTATGTTATGAAGCATAGAAAAGCTAGGGAGTTCCTCAGCCCTTCATTGCCTATTTTTTTTGAAGTTTTTTCCTTCAGGCCGTCATGGCTAGCATTTTATTAGTCTCCGGTGCTAGATTTTTCTTTCCATCTCTCCAACCTGGAAAATTTTCCCGTTTGTCAGATCATTACCCATTGTTCTGTTGCTTCTTCTAGCTCTGTTGTTTAGTCAGAATGTCCGAGACACAATCAATAGAAGTTACTCAACCCGCAGAGCACACAGTTCGTCTCAGGCAGCCGAAAGAATTGCAACATATCCAAGCAACACACAGATTGGATGGAAAAAACTATCCAAATGATCTCAATTAGTCTCAACCATGTTGAAAAGAGAAGGAAAAATCAGCCATCTCACTAGCATTGGACCAAAACCAGAAACATGAGAGGAAGAAGATTCTATGTCCATAGCAAGGTTATGGAGTTCTATGGTCACCGAAATAAGTGACAAAATAATGTTCATGGCTGATGCCAAAGGCACTTAGGATGCAATTCAATAAAATTATTCAAAGCAAGAGATGCAGCTCAGGTGTACGAGGTGAAGGTTAAACTACGGCAGCAAAGCCAAGCAGCAAAAAGTAATCAAATGAAATCTTTATGGGGGGAACTTGATCACTATAGGGCATTAGGGTGACCCAGACCAAGTGTCGAAGAATGCTGCAATACCCAAAAGCTAACAAGACACAGTTTGTGTTTTCCTCGTAGGTTTAAACATAGAGTTTGACCAAGTAGGATTCAAATCCTTGGAAAATCATGGATAAATCAAGTGGTGGCCATTATTAAAAGTGAGAAGAGCAGGACTTTTGATCTGTAGATTTCTTCTTGTAAATAGCTCGACCATGGAGGCTAAAAGTGTTAAACTAATACATTGAACGTTGAAAAGAGAACTGGTTCCAAATCTGAAAAGAATGACCTGTTGAATGCACAAAATCAGGATGGAGTATGGTGCACTTATTGCAAAAAAGTGTGTCATGCTAGCAAAAAGTGTTGGAAATTAAACGGGAAGCCTCCAAGTGATGACTAGGGAGAGAGGTCAAGACCACGTGAATAGGGGCAAACTTGTGTTGCTGTTGATGCGACAGAAGGAAGAAGCCAAACAAGTACCAAGAAGAGGTGGAGAGGGTGAGATCATTCTTTAGTAATTCGGAAAAACCTACACCAGTACCTGTTCTTTGGCATATTCAGGTGAGCACTCATTAACATTTGGATTTAATATCTCATAAATACCTYTCAAGCCTACGCTGTTACAGAATACAGCAGACAAAATCTGAAAGAGCAGGCAGGACCATGATTTGATATAGCGGTTATCGCAATGGTAAAGTGGTGGTATAATGGTCCAAAATAGCGATTCATATAAAAACTAGAACTACATATGTGTG